AAAAGTGTACAGTGAGTGCCGAATGTTTAAAATGGGGTGGACAACAACATATTGTTTCACGGAGGTCCAATCAAAGGCAGTTTTTATGCCAAGAAACTGTCGGGGTTTCAAAGAGTACACTTTGCTAACTGCTAACTATGCTAGCAATTGTTGGATTTGATATCTTTTATATCTTTTTATATCTTTTGACAAGCCTTGACATTTCTCTGATGATGTGAAATGATGCATTTTCTACAAGGTGTGTGAGTGTCTGAATTCAAGGGTTTGAACTATATTTACAGGCCTGCATTAATTCTAAAGTGTTTACTATGTTCTATATATAATCTCACAATTGCTAAGGATAATCATACACTAATTACTTCGTGTTATATATAATCTCACAAGTGCTAAGGATAATCATACAAGTTCACATTTGATATAATTCTGAGGGAAACAGAGACAGGTAAGACACTTGTTTGTGCAGCAGGAAACAATCCTTCTTTGTTCTCCGAGTAGAGCAGCTGAGAGTTGAGGGCCCACCAATGTGACACACTGCTCACACATTGATTAAACATAAATAACGCTAAATCACAACATTCATATACTTTATACTTAACACAGGTTGAGTATCTATGCTCTCACATTAATAATAGTTCAGACACACAGAAATCGTGTTTTAAAGCTTTATACAGTCTGCATACTTTAACTTTGTCTCAATTAAATCTTTAATACTAAAGTGAAGTGCTCCTGAAATTCTGTGCTAGGGTCATTTGAACACCCCAAACCCTTCAGCTGGTGACCCCGACGTGATGATCTTCGAGCACACGAGGAGCGGTGAGATTCGACCCATGAGCGGAGCGGCCGTTCGCATCCAGAGGGGAGGTGCCTCACATAAATAACAGGTAAGCGGGTTACCTAAGTTGGCCGAAAGGCCCAAAAACTCCGCTATTCGGCCGTAAACCAAATTGAAGCCTCTGGATGAGCATGGTGTGTTTTGTCTCCTGAAATAAAGGAGGAATAGCAGCTAATGTTAATATAATAACTAGAGGCATTGAGCACGGAGCTTAAAGTGTGCAGAATAATAGAATAATAGAGTACAAATAAAGAGAGAGAGCTAAGACTAAGGTCAAAGAGAAAAGTGAAGATAAGAGATAAGAGATAAAAAGACTAAGAAGGCCAAAAATAGAAATAAAGGAAGAAGAAAAATCCTAGTAGTATCTCTGCAGTAGCGTGCCTCCTATCAGTCGACGGGCCGGTAGTTAAACGTAGACTGGGTCACGTGAGCTCAGCTGACGTCGGACTGGGGAATTGAGGGACCCCTTAAACGGACGGAATTGGCAAATGAAACTAGGATTAAAACGCAAGTCGAGGACCATGGAAAATGTGTGAATAAATTAATAAAAGGAGAAACCACGCTATAAAAATAAAAATGAAAAACTCAAAATTAAAAAATCCACACACGAAGCAATGAAAAAAAATTTAAACAATTAAAATGCATAAAAAGGAGTGAAGAAAATATATAGTGTTGTTTAAAGAACAAGGAAACAGAGGGGAGACGCGCAGACTCATCTGTCTGTGTGTGTGTGTGAAACGAGTGAGGCTCACCTCTGTGTGTGAATAAGCGAGCAAAAGACACTTCGGGTGGAGGTTTCTGATCGGTGCAACAAAAAACTGACACTGCTTTTGGGTCGAGGCTTGTGTGTGCTCTGCCCGCACGTCACCCAGTCAGAGGGAGAGTATAAAAGTGTAACACTCATGTAGTGAACTGAATGAAAAAGAGGTGGTTCAGGAAATTGAAGAACACTTCCTTCAATTTAAAAGTGAACACGAGGTCCTCACAAAAAAACATTTTGAACAGATGTTTCAATCACAGCAAGATGCACGTGCAGAAATTGATTCACTGAACAGCCAGGTACAGGCACTTAATGCATCACTAACAGAAGCCAGGGATGCTAAAGAGCTGTTGTCCAGAGAATACTTTGCATTAAGACGGGATCACGTCGAGACAGTGTCACAAGTTTCCCGCTGCAAAGCTGAGATAGACGTGCTTAAAACACAACTTTGCCATGCAGAAAGGAAATATGGTGAGAGGCGTGGACAGGATGTGGAGACACACTGGGTTTCAGACCCAAATCTCCTCACATCACACACACCTCCATCCATACCTAAAGTGGTAGTGACAGACCGGAACTGGTCTCCTCTACCAAACAGGCAACAGAGTGCATGGAAACTTCCTCTTTCAATGGATGATCTGCTGAAACTCTCAAAATATGTACAACGCTTTGTACCGGGACCAATGGGTTCAACTGGAACAAAAGCGTACCTCAAAGACCTTGAATTCAGACTTGGTGGTTATCCTAATGCTACGGTTGAGGATAAAATCAGTCTGATAAGGCTCACTTCGGACAGAGAGGTGTTCACCTTCATCGAGCGTCTACCTGATGCAACGAGAAGGGATTACAACCTTCTGTGTGAAGCTTTGATCAGAGAGTACGACCCCTGCACGGGACCTGCTGGTTTCCCAGCTGCTGACAAGGTCACGCAGGGCAAGCATGAACATCCAAAAGTCTATTACAAAAGAATCTTCCAAGCTTATTTTGGTTACAGAAATGAAACCGTAATGGAGGAAAAAGAAGGTTTTAAATTTGTTTTCAGCAAAAATCTCCACACTGACATACGCATGTCAGTACAAATTATGGCAAATTTCAGAGAAAAATCCATCAATGAGATTAAACAGTGTGCTGTGAATGTGTTTGAGGCATGTTCTCATGCTAAGACGCCCATAGAGGTGTTTCCTGGTATAAAGGTTAAACCCCACTCCCTAGAAATGGAAGGACGGCGTGCATTGACCCCTCCTCCTAAAAAAGGCGGGAAAAAGCAGTATTTTCAAACTAACAAACCGCGTAATGAAGGTGCACGCTGGGACAAAAAAGCTCCTCTTTCAGAGGATGAACGTGATTATCGTAAATGGGGTGTGCGTAGGACGCAAAGATATGGGATCCAAGAGGACCCATATTATCAGGGGAAGTCCGAAGAGGAACCCCCAAAAGACGTACCTGACCCTCCCCCACCTCGGACGAAACGAACCGAGGCGATAAAATCACAAAAGTTCCAGATACAATGCCCTACACCTCTGAGCTCGGAAGAGACAGAGAAACTACAAAGGTTGTTAGAAACTTTGAAACACGCTGAAATGGGAAACCAACCTGGAGCACTATGTAGTGATGTGATCGCTACTAAATCTGAGGGCGCGAATGACAACATTACAGATGTCGGTGGAACACACCAAGACATTGTTGTTGTTGCCTCCAACAACCCCTCATCGGAAGAAGGGGGGGTACACTCACACACAAACGATGACGAGTCATCGCAAGCTGAACACTCAGAAACAGCTACTGCTGTGCTGACGGTTCAGACAAACCAAGATTACACAGACAAGGCTGAACGTGTGAAGAAGCGTCAGAAAAAACCCAAGAGGTTTCTGTGTAACTTTATCAGAAGGGGGGTCGCCAAAAAGGCGTACCTGTCAGTGACACTCGAAGGTGTCCTCACACATGAAGCACTTCTGGA